AGACCTGGACTCAAACTTTGTTTTGTGTGGCCTTGTGTTGGCTATATAGCATAAGGAGCCAAAAGTTTTAAAGAGGGAATAATCAGGTTTGTGGCCAAACAATCTCTCAAAAGGGGTTTTCCAATCTAAAATCTGGGTAGGGAGTCTATTTATAATGAAGGTAGCCATTAACAGGGAGAAAGTCCAGAATTTTTTTGGCAAATATGCTTGAAACATCAATGATCTGGCAATCTGAAGCAAGTGTTTGTGTTTGCGTTCCACCACCCCATTTTGTTGAGGTGTGTAAACACAAGTGCGATGATGAAGAATACCAAACATCTGAAAAACATTTTGACATTCACGACTAAGAAATTCAGTTCCATTATCTGTTCTTGTGCATTTAACCCTTGTATTGAATTGTGTTTGGACCATTCGAAAGAAATTGTCCAAGGTTTTAGCAACCTGTGTTTTATGCACCAGTAAGAAAGTCCAAGTTGATCGACTATAGTCATCAACGATAGTAAGCATGTAGGGAGTGCCAGTAAGTGAGAATTGTCTGTAGGGTCCCCAAAGATCGACATGGATAAGGTCAAAAATGGCACGTGTATGAATGGTACTGATTGGAAAAGGACTTCGCTGTTGTTTGGCCTTATGACAAATCTCACAGTGTTTAAGTGTATCTGACTTCTTAGGAACATGCTTAAGAAATTCAAGGTACTGCATTGTGTGAAAAGATACATGGCCAAGTCTGTTATGCCATTCAAGAAATTGATCAGTGGAAGATGAATCAGAAATATTATTGATACCAAACATTTGATTACAAGAGGTAGTAAACGTTGGAAATCTAGATTGAGCTATCAGATTATCGCTATCCCTTTCTTTTCTGGAAATGAAACTAAACTCATCTAACAGATATAATTTCCCTACAAGCTTGCCAATTGCCAATACCTTTTCATTCTGCAGGTCCTGCAATAGACAGAAGGTAGGAAAAAAGGTTAACTTGAGGCTGGCAGTTTGAGTGATCTTTGGAACTGACAGAAGATTATATTTGAAACTGGGAACATATAGGGCGTTTGTTAGATGCAATTTTTGGTTCAATTCAACATTTCCGGTGTGGTTTACTGACTTATTTGTTCCATCAGGTAAGCAAATAAGTGTGGGTTGTGAAACAGGGGTCAATTTTGTCATCAAATTCAAATTGGTACAAATGTGATTACTGGCTCCTGTGTCAATAATCCAGGTTCCTGACTTCACATGATCAAGTGTAGCCAAAGATGAGTGAAAAGAGCTCATACCTGCATATTCTCTTATATGAGCGAAATTCACCTTATTTTCAACCTCCACCAGTCTCTTCCCTCTTAAGACCTTTAGCACCTCCTGTGTAACCATGTTAGCTAAATCTGTGGATGCTGTTTGATCCAACTCCCTGCTCTGATTTGTCTTATCATCTTCGAAGTCCAGAGGCGTATCAATCATATTTGCTGCAAACCGTCCATCTCCAAAATTTCTAGATCTCTGTTCCTTCACTGTTTTGAACCAGTCTGGATATCCTATCAACTTGAAGCAATTATCTCTGGTATGGCCTCTCATGTTACAGTGATCACAGTTGTGTATTTCCTTTCCATTTCCAAGTCTTCTGTTATTTCCTCTGCCTGAGCTAAATCTCATCGCACTTCTGTAGAAACCTCCTCTATTTCCACTCTCTCTCCTGTTATCCACTGATCTAACAAACATAGCTGAATTGTCATTCGAATCTGGAAATATATTGTGAACCTCTCTCTGTTTTTCGACTCTCAACACCATAGAATATGCTTTATTAACTGAGGGAAGTGGATCCATCACCAACACTTGATTCCTTATATGATCGAACGTATCATTTAAACCCATCAGAAATTGTATCAACTGATTCGAAGCAGTTAGATCTGAGATTTCCTTAGATGCTGAGCAGATGCAGGTAGGTATAGGCATTAAACACATCAACTCATCCCAGAGCTTCTTCAATTTAGTGTAATACTTTTCTACTGTCAGAGTTCCTTGCGAAATACTACTAATTTCTCTTTGAATCTGATAAAGCATTGGTCCATTACACTCGCCATATCTCTCTTTCAATTCTAACCATAAGTCCTTTGCTGATTTGGTATAAATGAAAGCTTCAACGATGTCTTTAGCTATTGAGTTCAATAACCACGATCTAACCATACAATCCACCCGAATCCATTGCTCTATTTTAGACGAATTCTCCATAGGTTTATCACATTTTCCATCAATGAAACCTAATTTCATCTTAGCTCCTAATGCTATTACGATAGATCTACTCCAACTCAAGTAATTTTTTCCTGTCAACACTGAGGTAACTAAAATCATACCAGGATGATCTGAATTTTGAAGATCAAGTGGATCTCTGTTCGAATACTCCTTTTCTGTTGCATCATCCTCAGTCTCTGATCCGGATGTATTTTGTGCCATTATTTCCTTCAGTAATTCAATAGGTTTCTCGATCAAAACCTATGCAATTTTCAGCCCTGCTCTGATACCATGAACAAAGGCAGCTGAACAAAAAATACTTTGAAGGAACTGACTTTATTTTATTCAATCGATTCGACTGAAAATGAATACACTTGCGTTATATATATAGAGCAAGCTGAAACTATAGTCCAATAGGAAGGTTACAGCACACAGGGAAAACCGTACTTAACAGAAAAGGAAAGAGAAAAACGTAAAGGAGCTAAAACACGACTTTAAGTAAAACCAATTTAAGACTTTCTGGTATTTCCGGTAATCAGTTGCAGGCACCAGCTAACATCCTCTTTTCACACTTTCATTTGATTAAAATTGATCAATTTTTTCATTTTTTAGTCAACTAACGGAAAAGTGGACGGTTTCCATCCAAATGAATTCAAGCTGCATATTTATGAAAGTTCAGGGATTTTCACTGGTACAAAATGAAGTTTGGGATAAAGTGTGCAAAAATCGAGAAGGTTAGGATTGCTATTGCAATTTTTCCTTCTTTTTACGCAACAATGTTTCTATAGACCCTCATGAGCATCTCTTTGACTAACCGTTGGCACACTTTAAATATGCCTAATATTACATTGTTTGATTCTTATTTTTTTCAAAATATATTTTTCTCTCTCTTCTTTTAACCATATATTTTTCAATAAAATAATATTACGTACAATTCAAAAAAATTTCCTTCATTTTTAACCACACATTCTCCATCAATCTATTATTTTAAAATGCATTTTACATAAAAAAAAAAAAAGAGACTCAATCATGCCTTCATTCTCCTACATCAAACAAAGGCGATACATGAGGTGGCTCTCAAAATGGAGTTTCACTTGTATGAATTTTTTCTTCCCCCCCACACTAAAATAGTTATAGTTTGATTGCAAATATAAGAATCCAGGTTTTCCAACAATGGCATGCATTTTTTTCAATCCAATTTAAGTAACCAACCTATTTGCCAAAACCATATTCCTTTGATTGGATGGAATGAATTTTACCAAAACCATTTGACAGTTTTATTAATTTTGATCAGATTATCCATAACGATTGATTTTTTTTTTACTTTTTTTTTTCAAATCGATATCAAGCCCTCGCCTAACTCAGTTGAGTGGAGGGGACTTTTCTGACTTGTCTTCACGTTCTTCATTTATCATTTCTAACTCATCTTTAAAAGATTGAATAATTATAAGATGACAAAAATTATGATGCAGTTGACTGTTAGGTTTTTAAACCATTGAGGTGATTTCAACTTCTCTATAGAAATATAATAAGCTTTTAAAACTTACAGTTTGATTTATTTGTTAATGCAATAATTGGATGTGCTGAACTGAAGAAGAAATAATTTCCAGCACATTATTTCTTTTTTCTTTTTAAATTTAAATAATTTTTAATCATAATTTTTAAGACATATATCTACATATTGTAACAAAATATTTCACTAAGAAAAAGTTATTGTGATCTTAGCAATGGAGCACATAATGTACCTCAACAACTTTTTTTTTTCGTTTTAATTTCAAAAAAATAAAATAAAAATAAATTCCACACGTACTCTATAATGAATAGGATCCTGTAATATTTAATGTAGCGTCATCAGCATTATCCATTATTGTAACAATCAAGTTAATTGTTTCTTAATATCAATTAATTACTGTAAATAGCAAGTTCAGGATTTGACTAAGAATTTTGGCTGTCTGAATGAACATTAAAGTACAGTCCAAATACAGAACGTTATCCTAAATTACCGAGGAAAAGAACAAAGTAATTAAAGCAAAGGTTTATCCAAAACTGAAACAGCCCTAATCCCCGCTGTCAATTCTGACCTTGTAGAGGCATTTTGAAGAAGAATGAAATTACCGGTCCTTTTCTCCACCGTTTTCAATCAAAAACCAGTTATAAAAGATTAATGTACTATACCCTACTTCAAGAAATCCTTATATTTGGTACTTGATTCTTTACTCTTCGTTTTTTGGGTTCTTGGTTTCGGAGCTTCCTAAGTCTGAGTTCAAATTTTAAAATTGTATTAGTTGGAACTCAGATTCTCATATGAAATATCCGTTTCTTTCATTTTTACAACTCAACTCTTCAGATGTGAGGGGCCACGAAAGTTTGAATCTCATGTCATGCTTATCGTTCTGGCGTTTGTCTTATTCTCACCAGCAAGAGACTCGTTTCTCTGTACTTGACATCTGTATTTTTCTTCGAAAGTTTGCATAATAAGTATTAATTTCTCATGAACATTGTGAGGTTAGCATTAGGTTGGTTTATGTGCATGAGCATGTGCGGGTGGTGTTACGCTTGGGCTCTTGGGATCTATTCACCAAAGCCTGATTTTTTTTGGCTTTATTTAACCACAACTAGGTGAATTCTCGTTTCTTACTCACAATTCTCAACTAATTGATTCTTTAGAGTTAATCACGCAAAAAACACTCCTTTCTTCTTATCTCTATAAATTTGGGAGAGGGAGGCCTCTGGCATTTCAAGCTTTTGAACTCATTTCAATTCCAGCAAAAGAAGAAATGGAAGGTTTGTGTGGTGGTCTCAGCCTCCTCTTCAGCCGCAACAAGGCAGAAGTGGAGGGTGATAATTTTGAGCTTCAAGAAGAGGATGTATGGTATAACTATACACCTAAAGAGGAACAAGATTCAGGCTCAAACTCCAACCCAAAAAAGAATCTGAACTTCTCTTTTGATTTGGTCTTGGCAACTCCACTTGTATGGAGCATTCCTATAGTCCCAAGAATCACCCTGAAGGCAAATAACGGTGGTGGCGATGGCCATGCCGGTGGCCGCCATGAGCTGACACCCACCAAGGTGGTTGCACCCCGCACTTTAGCCCCTATTCCTATTCCTATTCCAGATTGTTCTAAGAATTATCCGTTAAATCCCAACAAGGAATTGTGGGAAGCTACATGTGATAGAGCTTTTATTGCCAGCAAAAAACAAGTTGGATTTTCAGATTTTATTGAACCTGATGATGATGGTGGTGTGCTTATCCCACCCCATATAATTTTGGCAAGGAGGGCAGCACTGAATCAGTGGATTTCTCACTCCATATTGGAAGGAATTGGAAGGACTCTCAAGGGAAGAGATCTCACTAATACGAGGAATTTCGTTTTGAAATTAACCGGCTTCATTGAAACTTAAGAAAACCTTCATTTTCTCCATCACCATCATCTATGGCTACATATATATATATGTAGCATCAATAAATAACAACCATTTGTCATTTTCAGTTCAAGATCTTCATGAGCATCTCATCAGTAGGGTCCCATTCGATTTTTAAGTTGTTTATTGTTTGTTTGCTTAGTAAGTGTGTACTTAGTGTGAAAAACTTGATCCACAGCACAATCTTGTTTGTCAGAGGTTGCCATTTTGGTGGATTTGCTTAGGTTTCTGTACTAAGAACTTCTGAGATTTTGTATGGAAGCATTGTGTTCTGGACAACTAGTGTGTTTCAAGAATCTCTAATCAACTCATTATTATTTATTATTGCTTTGCTTATAATTACTTAATGAATCCCAATGTTTAATACAAAAAAAATTACTTAATTATCTTCTTCCAACCTTGTTTAATGAAATCTTTTAGTAATTAATTTGAATGATTAATATTGACATAAATGATTAATGTATTTGATCTCTAATCTATTGAGAATAAATTTCAGTTTGTTATTTTTATTGAAACACGAATATAGAAGATAATTTTATTTTGTAACTCCATATATCACAAAAACAAATCGATGGGGAATAAAAGTTACATGGTTATGACTGAATATAGAGTCTACAGATAATTCGAACCATTAAAATTTTAATTTTTCTGCTTGTACAAAAAACTTCATACAGAAACAATACAGATACTCACATTGAGTGAGTTCTTTTAATTTGTCTCTATGTAATTTATTATATGTAGCTAAATAATAAATAACAACGAGACCTAGTCATTTTATGAATGATAAATGTATGCATTTATGAGAAAAGTAAATGGTCTTGAAATTTAGGTCTAACACACACAAACGAGGTCGTATATCTCTTCTATATGAGTTTTTCTATCCCAAAATATTTTGGTTGAATTGTAAAAAGGAAAATTATAACATAATTGGACAACAATTTCTCATTTAAAAATTACAAAACGGTACAAATTTTCATTTTCTTGCTTAAACAATGTGAAACAAACCGGGACTTACATTTTTCGACCAATGACAAGCCCCATCAAACAAAAAAGATTCGATGTGGAATTTAGGATTTCTCTATGTTGTATCACATGTATTATAGGCCATAGAATTTAATGAGAGTAGTTTATTGGGATTTAATTAATGAAAGAAGATATGATTATTGTTTATTAAAATAAATTTTTAATATAACATATCAAGTTTTAGATTTCAAGTAGCATTATGGTTTATAAAGTTAAACATGGTGATCTTTAAATGAGGATACCAAAGAAATGGTTTTTCCATGGGTGTTTCGTTAATTTGTTATTATCGTAGAAAGCCCTAATGTTAATATTGCACGAAAACGAGATGAACATGTTTGTATGTTTGGAATTTACACTTCTAAGTACGCAATCTTGGATAAGTAGAATTGACATGTTACACAATATTGGATAAGTAGTTGGTAGTTATCGAGAAAAAAAACTTTTAAGATTCACTTGTCGAACAAATCTGGTTAAAATGGCTATAGACTAAAATTCCAGCTAAAATTTTCATGTTGCACTAGAAAGAAAACAAGGTATTGACAACTATACTTTTGGAATGTGTAAAAACTCTAAAAGAATAAAATTTTGAGAAAGTATAGTTATCGATTGACACGTGACATTTTAGTTGGAGCGGTATCTTTTATGAATATTACTTGTTTGTAATAACTTGCCGTCAAATAATGTCAATTTCATACAATAACGTGTTCAACTTCACTACGTTTCAATGAGTGGATTAATAAATTTATATGTCGCACAAAAAAGCGAGATACATGCCTATCCCAAGATAGAAGGGAATGAAGGTGGGGATTTGAGAGTCAATCAGAGAACATTAGGTGGTGCTAGCGATGGCTTGACTCATAGCGTTAGAGTAACCCAAGTAGTGAATAAAAATATTTAGGAAGTGGTGGGTGTCGAGAATTTGGAAAAAGGGTCTAGGAGGGTTGGATAGGATGAGCAAATTAAACAAGTCCTCTTTAGATATTTAGGCTAGAGGCAATTTACATTGTTGACTAGTAAATGTCAAATATGGTCAATTCCTCCTGGGGAATGAGTACTTGTAATTTGAAAGAGTAATGCTATTTATCTCCAATGGGGTTACAAATACAGTTTAGACTGTATTTATAATCCAACTGAGGATGAATAACATTATTTATTTGTAAATAGAGGCTTGAGTAACTTATTTTTCTTTTTTCAACTTTTACCCAAAAAGTTATTTATTTTAACATTTACTTATTTAAGTTCAAGTAATTTAGATATGAGTAAATTTTTGAAACTTAGTCAAACGTGCTCTTTATCTCATTTAGTTCACAATGTCAGGGAAATAAATAGAAACATTTGACTTGTTATTATACATGATTGATCACACATGCAAGAAAAAAGAAAATCTACAAGACCTCGAGTTACCCGATTGATCAAATGTGCGCTTGACACAATTCTTTTCATCGAAACATTTGATTGGGTGATCATGATTAGGAACTCTGAGATAAACAGTGGCAATACTAGGTGAAATTGTGTACGGATTCATCAGTGTCGGTTCTAAACATAAATGAACGAATTTTTGTCTCATATAGCATCAAGACATAAGTAGTTGACTCGTGTAAACCCTACTTTATTACACGATAAATCATAATGATTTGGGATAAAAACACGTGAATTGTGAAAATATATATCCTTAATTAACTACTGAAGTTATCTAATTAAATGCTATAAATAATGAAATTTAACTCGCGCCGAAACATAAAGTAACACGCTACGCTTCACAAGAATGTCATTCTAATTTCAACTAGAATTTATATACATCGTTGACTAGCAAATGATAAACATCGTTGACTAGCAAATGAATAATCCTAAAATACTGTCCATGATACAGAAACGTTATCCTTAATTACTGAAGAAAAGAACAAAATAATTATAGCAAAGGTTTTCCAAAACTGAAACATCTAGCACTAATCCCCACTGTCAAGTACCTGTCCTTGTAGAGGCATTTTGAAGAAGAATGAACTTTCCGATCTTTATCTCCACCTTTCTCAATCAAAAACCAGGCATTTGAGAGTACTAAAAGATTAATGTAATAAACCCTATTTCAAGAAATCCTTATATTTCGTACTTGAATCTTTACTCTTTGTTTTTTGGGTTCTTGGCTTCGGAGATTCCTAAGTAAGTAAAATTGTATTGGTTGGAACTGAGATTCTCAAATGAAATATCCGTTTCTTTCTTTTTTCCAACTCAGCATTTCAAAAGCAAGGGGCCACCAAAATTTGAATCTCATGTCGTGCATATTGTTCTGGTGTTTTGTCTTATTCTTACCAGCAAGGGACTCGTTTATCTATACCTGACATCTATATTTTGCTTTGAAAGTTCGTAAAATTAGTATCAATTTCTCATGAACCTTGTGAGGTTTGCATTTCAAGCTATAAATTTGTAGTAGGGAGGCCTTTGCATGTCAAGCTTTTGAACTCATTTCAATTCCAACAAAAGAAAAAATGGAAGGTTCGCGTGGTGGTCTCAGCCTCCTCTTCAGCCTCAACAAGGCAGAGATGGAGGATGATAATTTTGAGCTTCAAGAAGAGGATGTATGGTCTAACTATAAACCAAAAGAGGAACAAGATTCAGGCTCAAACTCCAACCTAAAAAAGAATCTGAACTTCTCTTTTGATTTGGCCTTGGCAACGCCACTTGCATGGAGCATTCCTATAGTCCCAAGAATCATCCTGAAGGCAAATAACGGTGGTGGCGATGGCCATGACGGTGGCCGCCATGAGACGACACGCACCAAGGTGGTTGCACCCCGCACTTTAGCCCCTATTCCTATTCCAGATCTGTCTAAGGATCATCCGTTAAATCCCAACAAGGAATTGTTCGAAGCTAAATGTGATATAGAAAGAGCTTTTATTGCCAGCAAAAAACAAGTTGGATATTTTAATGGTGATGGTGGTGAACTTATCCCACCCCATATAATTTTGGCAAGGAGGGGAGCTCTGAATCAGTGTATTTCTCACTCCATGTTGGAAGGAATTGGAAGGACTCTCAAGGGAAGAGATCTCACTGATACGAGGAATTCCATTTTTAGATTAACGGGCTTTATCGAAAATTAAGAAACCTTCATTTTCTCTATCATCATCATCATCATCCATGGCTACTACATATATATAGCCGCAATAAATAACAATCACCGTCTGTCATTTTCATTTCAAGATCTTTATGAGCATCACATCAGAAGGGTCCCATTGGATTTTTGAGTTGTTTAATGTTTGTTTGCTTAGTATGTGTGTCCGTAGTGTGAAAAACTTGATCCACACACAATCTTGTACGTCAGAGGTTGCCATTTTGGGGGATTTGCTTAGGTTTCTGTACTAAGAACTTCTGAGATATCGTATGGAAGATTTGTGTTCTGGACAACTTGTGTGTTTCAAGAATCAGTAATCAACTCATTATTATTTAGTATTGATTTGCTTATAATTACTTAATGAATCCCAACGTTTAATTAAAACAAAAAATTACTTAATTATCTTCTTCCAACCTTGTTTTATGAAATCTTTTAGTAATTAATTTGGACGAATATTAACATAAATGATTACTGTATTTGATCTCTAGTCTATTGAGAGTAAATTTCAGTTTGTCATTTTTTTTTGAAACATGAATATAGAAAATAATTTTATATTTTCCAAAAATATTATTCTATATATTACATATAAAATCTATTGGGAATGAAATTTACTTAGTATGATCTAATATAGATTTATTTCGTTGAACGAAACAAAGAGTCTACAACTACAGATAATTTGAACCATTACACTTCTGTTTCTATATTGTGAAAGTATGCTCCACCAGCCTCATATATTTGTAGGGTTCATCATAAACAATTTCTGCTGTGCAACATTAAAATTAAACCACTTTTTAGTGCTTCACGATGAATGGAATAAAACAATAATTTGATTGGGTGAGTTTATATGTAATTTAATATATGTAGCTAAATAAAAAACAACAATGAGACCTAGTAATTTTATGAATGATAAATGTTGATCCCATTTTTTGTAATGGTTACGTAAATAACAGATGTCAGGTCACCCACATCTACACAAGCAAATTTCAACATGTTTTGATCTGAGATTTAGACGAAAAAAGATATTGTTTATAGACATGGGAGATGCTCCATAACATGAGAGAAAAATGTTCAAACACCAACAATATGATAAAAAATGATTGCATATGAACAAACAATCACATACAACTCAACTAAAATATGAATAATCTTAACTCAAGCACATAAATATGAAATAAATAAGAGAGACGATCGAATGTTATCAAGAGTTGCATTAAAATGAGTTACTTATTTATAGAGTCCTAGTCGAAGTGATAGCCGCTGGATAAGAACCACAAGATCTCATATCCCAAGTTGAAATTTAACATACCTTCGACTACTATTCATTTAATACATTGACAATGACCAGCCACCCTATACCCTAGGCTTGACATTCATTGTTACAAATGTTATATCAATTACTCCTAAAAATTGCCTGCAGATCCTCTAAAAGACAACAAGAGATTCGGCCAAAGGGAGTTTCGGATAGAGTGAGAGCTTCGGCCAAATGGAACTTCACAACAAAGAGCATTGGCTTCTTCTTTGATTTTTTTCACTTTAACCAGTTGGGATCTTTGTTGACTGTGTCGGCTTTGATTTGTATCTCCACGTGGACTATAACTTTGTCTTCACTTGGTGCCTCGGTTGCGAAGCGTAACAATTAATGCATGCATGCATTTATGAGAAAAGTAAATAGTCTTGAAATTTAGATCTAACACAAACAAGCAAGCTTGTATAAGTATTTCTCTTCTATATGAGTTTTTCTATCCCAAAATATTTTGGTTTAATTGTAAAAGGGAAATTATAACATAATTAGACAAAAAATTTCTCATTTAAAAATTACAAAATTTGCATTTTTTGACCATTGACAAGCCCATCAAAAAGAAAAGATTATATCTTCAATTTAGGATTTCTCTGCGTTGTATCACATGTATTATAAGCCATAGAATTTAATGAGAGTAGTTTATTGGGATTTAATTAATGAAGGAAGATATGATTATTGTTTATTAAAATAATTTCTTAATATAACATATCAAGTTTTAGATTTCAAGTAGCATTAGAGCATCTCTAAGAGACTCTCTATTTTTAAAGATTATATTCTATCATTTAGAGAACATCTATAAATTTAGAGAGTTAAAATTTTGAAGTACTCCAACAAACTCTTTATATTTTACTACTCCAAAAAAATATTTATTATTTTTCTTTATCTTTTATTTTAACTAGATTTTCTTTAGATTATTTTATTGTTTTCCTACATTGAAAATTGAAACACTTTGAATGCATTAAATTATAGAGAGTGAGTTTGGCTTTCCAAATTTAGAAAGTCAAACCCACTCTCTAAATTAAAATGTTAATTTAAAGAGTCTGTTAAAGCATGATTTTAAATATTGATTCTTTAAAATAGATAACATCTCATGTTTAAAGAGTCTCTTGGCCGGAGATGCTCTTATGGTTTATAAAGTCAAACATGGTGATCTTTAAATGAGCATCAGAAAAGCCAAATAAATGGTTTCCATGGGTTCCGTTAATTTGTTATTACCGTAGAAAGCCCTAATGTTAATATTGCACGAAAACAAGATAATCATGTTTGTATGTTTGGAATTTACGCTTCTAAGTACGCAATCTTGGATAAGTAGTTTTCGACAAAACGACGTGTTAAAATTGACACATTACACAATATTGGATAAGTAGTTGATATTTATTGACAAAAAAATAACTTTTAAAATTCACATGTTGACATATCTAGTTAAAATGGCTATCGACTAAAATTCCAGTTAAAATTTACATGTTGCACCAGAAAGAAAACAAGGTACTAGGAACTATACTTTTGGAATGTGTAAAAACTCAAATAATAGAATTTTGAGAAAGTAGTTATCGCTTGACACGTGACATTTGAGTTGGAGTAGTATCTTTTATGAATATTACTTGTTTGTAATAACCTATGGTCAAACAATGTCAATTTCAAATAGCAACATGTTCAACTTCACTATGCTTCAATAAGTGGATTAATAAATTCACACGTTGCACGAAAAAGATAGATATAAGCCCATCCCAAGATGGAAGGGAATGAAGGTGGGGATTCGAGAGTCAAATCAGGGAACATTAGGTGGTGATAGTTAGGGGTTTGACTCTATAACATTAGAGGGATAAGCAAACAATTTCTCTTTAAATACTGAGAAAAAAAGGTTGATGATCGAGTTGTTATATATATAGAATTATGCTAGATGTACACTGGTAATTTACATAATAGATTATACCACCTCACATGGAGGGAGGCCCATGAATATATATATATATATATAACTGGGGATATTCCTTCAAAATTTTCGAAGTTGTTTATCAACTTTCATAATTTGATAAAAAGAAAAATTAAATGTCCTTTGAATGGAAAAGCAAATTATATTATCAAAAAATGAAAGTAATTTCTTCCAAACATACCCTTGCCACCCTATTAAGAGGCATATTGATTTGTAACTTGGTCGAAAGTTGGGTTGTGATAGGGGTAATTTGATTGTTGAGGGTAATTATATTCACACAATAATTTTATTTCTTGCACCACATTTTAATTGTACTTAATATTCTTCATATTTGTTCATGATAACACTTATGTCCCTAATGATTTTTAATGTTATTCTTATTATGAAACTTTCCATTAATTATAACATTTTGTATTTGATAACAGTTTTATGTCCAAAAGTTCATTAAAATGGCGTAAAACAATTTATTTTTCATTATATTTTATTGAAATAAATAAATAAAAAGTGTGCAAAAAATATTTCCCCTCATTTCAAAACATAAAAATAAAATATTTTGATATAAATCATGATCAAGGACGATATATAATAATTAATGGAAGGTTGAAGGTAAGAATTCGACAAAAAAAAGTTTTAAAAAATTGCTACAATAAACAAAGATTGAGGAATTTAACTGTAATTAAAATGTGGTGGCAATATCACCACCCTTATAAAAAATAGAATCGTTGTAATATTAAATTAATTTTTAAAACAGTGTCTGGAGAATTGAAATAAGTGATACTTAGAAGTTCCTACAAATAATTCTAATTGTTCTCCCTAGATTAGTTGGAAGACATTTGAAGCAAACTGGCATCATATATGAAAAACAAAAATAAAGCAGGGGATCAAAAATACTGAATGTTTGGTTTCGGATTCTTACAAATTATTCAGATATTCAATTATTTTGCTTGTTTATAATTGAACAATGAACATAATCCCCTCAAAATAACATAGATTTTTAAACAAAATCTACATTTCTTATGATAATATCGTAAGCGACTAGTGGACCCACAAAATAATTGCGCCGCCCACCTAATACTACATTTAGGGGGAAAAAAAGAATAATGTTATTCAGAACCTTAGCACCAATAATATTTATACAAATTTAGATAAAAAGTACACATAGAATTAATTAAAGAGACTAATATTCTTAAAAATGAAAAATCATACTAAAGTTCCAAAATTTTCTAAATTTTGTATATGTAATTTTCTTCAAATAAACATGTCATAGGACTGAATTTTAAAATGTAAGCACCACAATAATGACATCCTAATTTAGGCTAGAAGCGATTTACATTGTCGACTAGAAAATGTCAAACATGGTCAATTCCTCCTGGGGAATAAGTACTTGTAAATTTGTAATGGAGGCTTGAGTGAGTTATTTTTCGTTTTCAACTTTTGCCACAAAAAAAGTCATTTATTTTAACATTTACTTTAAGTTCAAGTAATTTAGATGAGTAAATTTTTGAAACTTAGTCAAGCATGCTCTTTATCTCATTTAGTACACAATGTCGGGAAATAAATAGATACATTTGACTTGTTATTGTACATAATTGATCGCACATGCAAGAAAAAAGGAAATCTACTAAACCTTGAGTTACCTGATTGGTTAATGTGCGCCTGACATAATTCTTTTCATCGAAACATTTGATTGGGTGATCATGATTAGGAACTCAAGATAAATAATGACAGTACTAGGTGAAATTGTGTACGGATTGATCAGTGTCGGTAATAACATAAATGAATGAATTTGTGTCTCGTCTACCTAGCATCGAGACATAAGTAGTTGACTTCTGTAAACCCTAGTTCAATATACGATAAATGATTTTGGATAAAAACGCATGAATTGTGAAAATATCCGTAGTTAACCACAAAAGTCATCTTAAATGCTATAAATAATGAAATTTAACTCGGTGGAAACAAAGTAACACGCTACTCACCACAAAAATGTCATCCTAATTTCAACATCTAGAAGCTATACACATCGTCGACTAGCAAATGATAAACATCGTCAATTGTAATAAACTTTTCATTTGTTTGAACCCCCTCCACCCCTTCAGTTCCTTCTAAAGGGAAAGTACTTGTTAATGAAATTATATAAGTATTTCAAAACGAAAAACTAGTGATTCATTTATAGACAATGTATTATATTAATAAAAGTAGTATGTTTATCAAATGTGTAAATGACTTCCCAATAAAAGTAGACCATATTTAATAAATCAATTTGATTTACAAAAATAAAAATAAAAAATCTCCCGTACTTTATAATAAATAGAATAGAGTAATATTCAATATTGTAACATCATCAGCATTTCCCATTATTGCAATAATCAAGTTAATTGTTTTTATGATTAATTAACTATTGTAAATAGCAAGTTCAGGATTTGATTAAGAATCTTGGCTGTCTGAATAATTCTTAAAATACTGTCCATGATACAGAAACGTTATCCTTAGTTATTGAGGAAATGAACAAAGTAAGTATAGCAAAGGTTTTCCAGAACTGGAACATTCAGCACTAATCCCCACTGTCAAGTCCCTGTCCTTGTAGAGGCATTTTGAAGAAGAATGAACTTCCCGATCTTTTTCTCCACCTTTCTCAATCAAAAATTAGGCATTTTGAATCTATATTCTTTGTTTTTTGGGTTCTTGGTTTCGGAGTTTTCTAAGTAAGTCTCAGTTTAAATTTTAAAATTGTATTATTTGGAAGTGAGATTCTCAAATGAAATATCCGTTTCTTTCTTTTTTACATCTCAGCTTCTCAGATGTGAGGGGCCACAAAAGTTTGAATCTCATGTCATGCATATCGTTCTGGGGTTTCGTCTCGTTCTCACCACCAAGGGACTCGTTTCTCAGTACTTGACATGTGTATTTTTCTTTGGAAGTTTGCATAATTAGGATTAATTTCTCAAGAACTTTGTGAGGTTTGCATTAGGGTAGATTATGTGCGTGAGCGTGGGGTGGTGTAACGCTTGGTCTCTTGGATTTATTCACCAAAGCCTGATTTCTTTTTGGCTTTATTTAACCACAAGTAGGTAAATTCTCATTTCTTACACACAATTCTCAACTCATTGATTCTCTAGAGTTAATCTCGAAAAAAAAAAAACACTCCTTTCTTCTTATCTCTATAAATTTTAGGGATGAGGGCCTCTGGCATTTCAAGCTTTTGAACTCACTTCAATTCCAGCAAAAGAAGAAATGGAAGGTTTGCGTGGTGGTCTGAGCCTCCTGTTCAGCCTCAACAAGGCAGAGGTGGAGGATGATAATTTTGAGCTTCAAGAAGAGGATATGTGGTGTAACTATAAACCAAAAGAGGAGCAAGATTCAGGCTCAAAATCCAACCCAAAAAAGAATCTGAACTACCCTTTTGATTTGGCTTTAGCAACTACGCTTTCATGGAGCATTCCTATAGTCCCAAAAATCATCCTGAGGGCAAAGAGCGGTGGTAGCGGTGGCCGCCAGGAGCCGACACCTAGCAAGGTAGCGGCATCCCGCACTTCAACCCCTATTCCTATTCCAAATTGGTCTAAGATTTATCCATTAAATCCCAACAAGGAATTGTGGGAAGCTACATATGATTTAGAGAAAGCTCTTGTTGCCAGCAAAAAACAAGTTGGATTTATTGATTTTGTTGAACCTGATGATGATGGTGGTGAATTTATCCCACCCCATATAATTTTGGCGAGGAGGGAAGCCCTGGCTCAGTGTATTTCGCACTCCATGATTGAAGGGGTTGGAAGGACTCTCAAGGGAAGAGATCTCACTGATAGGAGGAATTCCATTTTGAAATTAACTGGCTTTATTGAAAATTAATAAAACCTTCATTTCCTCCATCAGTGTCATCCATGACTACACATCACCGTCTATGATTTTCATCTCAAGATCTCCATGAGCATCTCATCGGAAGGGTCTCATTCCATTTTTTAGTTGTTTAATGTTTGTTTGCTTTAGTATGTGTGTCCTTGGTGTGAAAAACTTGATCCAAAACACAATCTTGTTTTCAGAAGTTGCCATTTTGGGGGATTTGCTTAGGTTTCTGTACTAAGAACCTCTAATATTTTGTATGGAATAATTGTGTTCTGGACAACTTGTGTGTTTCAAGAATCATTAATCTACTATTTATTATTTATTATTTCTTTGCTTTTAATTACTTAATGAATCTCAATGTGTAACTAAAACAAAAAAAATTACTCAATTATCATTCGCTTTTGTTTATATGTTGTGAAATTATGCTCCATCAGCCTCATATTTTTGTAAACTTCATCGTAAATAATTTCTGTTGTGCAGCATTAAAATTAAACCATTTTTTTCAGTGAATGGAATAAAACAACAATTTGATTAGGTGAGTTCTTTTGTTTCTATGTGATTTATTATATGTAGCTGAATACAAAACAACAAATCTACCAAGTAATTTTATGAATGATGTATGTATGTATGCATTTATGAGAAAAGTAAATAGTCACAAAAAAAGCTCTTATAAGAATTTATCTTTTATACGAGTTTTTCTATCCCAAAATATGTCGACTTAGTGGTAAAAGGTAAAATTATAACATATTTAGACAAATTTCTCGCATAAAAATTCCAAATTTTCATTTTTCGACCAATGGAAGCCCGAGAAAGAAAAATAAAATTATCTTTGCAATTTAGAACTTTTGTACGTTGTATCGCATGCATTACTATTGAGAAATTATATATAGTTTAGAGATTAACAAGTTTTATGAGCAATAGAATTTAATGGGAATAGTTTATTAGGATTAATTAATGAAAGAAGATATGATTATTGTTTACAAAATAAAATTTTATGGTTTGTGAAGTTTAACATGGTGATCTTTAAACGATCATCCAAACCCCCATCCCCAAACAAAAAAATAAAATAAATAAAATAAAATGGTTTCAATGGTTTTGTAATCTTGTTATGACCCTAGGAAACTCTAATGTTAATGTTGCATGAGAACGAGATAAAACTATCATGTCGTGTTTGTATGTTTGGATTAATGTACATTTCTAAGTCCTAAGTAGGCAATCTCATATAAGTAGTAAACGACAAAATGTCGTGCTAAGATTGACACACTACAAAAATATTGGATAAGTAGTTGGCAGCTATCGACAAAAAGCCTTTTAAAATTCACACGTTGACAAATCTAGTTAAATAGCTATCGACAAAAAAATCTAGTTAAAATTTACATGTTACACTATAATAAAAACATGGTATTGGCAACTATATTTTTGGAATGTGTTATTACTCAACAAGAATAAAATCTCAAGTAAGTAATTATCGATCTACACGTAATATTCTAGTTATAGTAATAGCTTTTATGAATACTACTTGTTTGTAACACCTTTCAGTCAAACATTGTCAATTTCAAATAGCAACATATTCAATGAATTTCGAAAAGTTGGTAAATAAATATATTTGTACTATGGTATTTTTTTCATTTGTACAGGAACCACTCCATAGAAATGCACCACAAAACTCACAATAGGGTGGGCCCCACTATGGATTAAAAAAATAAAAAATGCGTAGGCCCCACACGGTGTGAGTATTCTGGCTCATTTCTGCTGGTTTTTCATTTGTACATGTAGCACCACTGTATATTATGCCCTGAAGAGACAAATATATGCTAATCTAGGGGTGTTCAAAAGTCTCGAACCGAATCGGACCGAACCGAACCTGAACCGAACCGAACCAAGCGGTTCTTCATAAATTAAATACCCGAACGGGTACCCGAATCGAGAACCGATGGGTTTGTGTCGAGTATCGGGTCTAGACCAAGAACCGAAGAATCGAATAAAAATCGAAACTAAATAATTTTTTCATTTTTTATATTGAATTAATTAAATTATTTTATTTTTTCTATACAAATTAGCAAATTAATTAAATAAATTACATTATTTCATAATTTTAATTTTAAAGCCCAAATCATTTTTAAAATCCATTAGCCCATTTTAATTTGAAGCAAATGAATATACTTTATGTAGTTTTGTTGTAATATTAATATCTACTTTTTGGTATTTATATGCATTGAATTAATCTTATTGGACGACTAGTTATTTATATGTTTTTGAATTGGGCTACGTTAATTTGTAAAAGTTACGAATGAAATGTCATTAGTTGTATTTATGTAGTATTGTTGAAAATATTAAAAAATTTAATTATGGTACGGAACCAAACCGACCTGAACCGAACGGAACCGAACCCGAACTATTCCATAATTATATTTGGACCCGACGGGTCCATTTATTAAATACCCGAAAGTTTTGGGTCGGTTCGGGTCTCTTCAAAATCGAATCGAATCGACCCACGGACAACCCTATGCTAATCCCAAGAAAAAAGGGGAATAAGGTGGGAATTCGAGAGTCAAATCAGAGAACAATATGCAGCGATCGTGGGTGGTTTGATGTACAATGGAAGAGGAATCCAACTAGGAAAGGAAAATATATAGGAGTGGTGGGCGTCGAAAGTTTGGAAAAGGGGATTAGGAGAAGAGCAAACAAGTTCTCTTTAAATACGCAAGAAATAAAAGTGGAGGACTGAGTTGTTAAAATATTCATGGATTGGGGATTCTCCCTTCAAATGTTCCAAAGTTGTTTATCAACTTTCATAATTTGAAAAAAAAAATGAAAAGAAAAAATTGAATGTCCATGGAATGAGAATGAGCTAAATTAACTTTTATGCATCTTTATATGCCACCATCGCTTGGGTGATTATAAGAAAAACATTGTATCGATAAGAAATTATTAAGAAATACAATTATTTTGCTTGTTTAATTATTAAAATTGGACATGAACTATTGCCATCAATAAACGGAGATTTATAATCAAAATCTACATTTCTGAGTGTAACATCTAGCAGTTTGAACTTGTTTGGGTGTGTGTATAAAATATGAGGACCAAGTACTTTTATGGCTCCAAGTTGTGGACCCACAAAATAATTGTGGCTTCCACCTTATTCTACATTAAAATAAAGAAAAATATTACTTAGCATCAATAATATTTAATATCAATTTAGACAACGACGTATAGATTCAATTAAATATACCCTAGTCCCCCGAGGCACATTCGAGTTGGCAAAGAACGAGCATTGCTGGGCTTGCAACCTCAGGATAGGGAGTTCGATTTGTGGATGGAGTAGCTGAGTGTTGTAATAAACAAAATTTGGGTGGAGCAGATTGGTGATGTAATACACATGGATGAAGGCTCCCTTGGAGTCAGGAGTATAAAGGGTGCACGGACTCTGATCAAATTGGGCATATCCCGTAGTTAACCTCCATCCATCATCAGTGATGGGTGGAGGTTAACCGCGAGATATGCCCAAGTTGACCAGACCCATCACTGAGGGGTCGAGAATAAGTGGTTCAGGACATAATCTGGTGTAAGTTGGGATACCTGGATATCAAAAAAATAAAAATAAATAAATATACCCTATATCCATAAAAACAAATATCATACCATTCCAAGAAAAATATATTTTATTTATCAATAATTTTATTAAAATAAACAAATTGAAGACTTATATTTTATTGTAATCCCATCCCGAGTTAATTGTTTGAAAAATAACTAAAATTTTGAACCGCATCATGGGTTTGAATTTCAATACCTAATTACATGCTAAGATTCCGTTTGTTGAATGAAAAAGGAAAAGAAAAGAAAAGAAAAAAGAAATGTAAACCTCGAACAGAAAATAAATAACTCATTTTCTACTTAACGTTTATTTTTTATGTTTATATTAAGTAAAGGGAATTTTTGCATAATGTCCCTACATTATCAATTGTAACAAAATATTAACTCATCAGGTGCTAAATGTGTAGACGGAAAATTCAACTGTTGAGCTCGACTGTGAAGTCCAAAAGTTAAAATATCAAACTCGACATTTACTAGGTATTCGGAAAGACATTTTAACTGTCGATCTCACCTATTTGCAACTGTTTAGTAGAATTTGTTCATTAAAGTCCGATATATTAATTGTGTTGAATACTTATCGTTGCTATTTTAAATTTTCAAATATAATTAATAATCTAAGATTCATCGGGTAACATGTACCAACCCTGTTCTACCACTAAGCATGTAATGTTGAATGATTTAAGTTGTATTTTGTACATTACAATGATGACATTCAGCCCCCGTTTGACACCCATTTTTTATCTCATTCTCATTTTTCTACAGTACTCATTTTTAACCACACATTCTCCAAATAAAATAATATTACACATAAACCCAAAAATTCTTCTTAATTTTTAACCACACATTCTTTACATCAATCACTATTCAAAAACTCATTCTTCAGAAGAATGGGTGCCAAACACCCACTCATTTTTCATGTTATATTATCATTTTCGTGTTATTACAGTTGTACTTTTTTCTGATACAAAACTCACTCCACTACATTTTCAAAACGTGAGATTTAATTAAAGACGGTTAAACTCTCGATTCGACGG